AAGTCCCCTGGGGCAGTGCCCTGGTGGGGTGACAAGTGTAGACACTGGAACTGGGGCAGCAGCCGATAACAAGTCTCTAGGTTAGATTGCAGCAGCCTCTGTTTCCCCAGTTGTCACGGGAGGTGTGTGTAGCCTGAGAGCCATACGCACGCAACATTTAACACGCAATGTTGTTTTCAACCCTATCTTTCCTGACTCGATTGCGTGGTGCTCGCACATGGACTGTGGGATCCAAACCTGCGTGTATCAGGCGTTACACGCACTTGTGCAAACAACAGTCATTGCAGTAGCATTCCAAGCTGCCTGCATGTGTGTGTGCTTGTGTAGACAGGTGTGTACTACTATTAAGCAGACGTGTAAGTTTTCTCATTTAATTTACATGCAGCCCAAAACAATTCCACTTCCCTGTATGTAGCCCAGGCAAGCCCAGACGTTGGGCCCCAAGCAGTAGGGGATTGCACGAGGTAGTCTGGGAAGAGCTATCATGGGAGGCTTTGGTTTGTGCGCACCTGGAGAGGTGAGACATTGAGACACTCCTCCAGACGACCTTGTTGGAGACAAAGGGATGGGTTTGCCCCTAGAAGTCTTTCCCCCTTGCCTCAGCTAGGACCCTTAGCCCTAAAGAGAAAGAACCCATGGAGTAGGAGATCTGCCGCCCTCTGGGAATATCCGGTGTTCCGGTCACGCCGTCGCTCCTACTCCTGGTCCCTTGGGTGGCAGCAGTGTGTTCCCAGTGGTGTCTGAGCTCAGCTGGGGAGAAGTTGTGCCAGCAAACTTCCCCATGGGACACAGCAGGGCCAGGACGCTGGTCCTTCCCGCGGATCCAAAGGACAGCAAGGACTTAGGTGGTCCTGGGAGAGAGGGGCAGGGGCTGCTCGGGCTGTGCTCAGCCTGTGTCTTCGCTCAGGAAGGGAAAGAAAGAGAGAGAGGTACAAGGAGACCCGTCCCTTTGTGATGGCAGCCCTGGCTTGCACGGAGGGGCGCATCCCCACCCACCACAGACACACAGGGCACAGGCCGGGTCCGCCTCCGGGCCTGTGTGCAAACACACTTTGCATATCCTGGTGTGTTTACCGGGGCTGGGTGTAATTGGCTTGTCTCCCTCTACACCTCGGCGCCCCTTCAGACCCCCATGCCCACACCTCAGAGGAAATTAGCAACGTGACATCGTTGAGAACCCAGAACCTGCCACCAGTCCCGCACACCACCAGCCTGGTGGAGGGGGTGGGGCCGCGGCGCAGGGAGTAATTGGTGAACCCAAGGTGAATGAAATAATTGGAAAAGTGAGGTGTGAGTTTGTTACCGGTGTGTGAGCGTGATGGGGGAGGGGAGGAGGGCCATGTTTAAAAGCCCGGTATGTCCTCTTTATTCACAGCTTCTGATACAGTAATTGCTATTTTGTGGTTTCTATTATCTACACAGTGGGGAGCGTGTGCGTCTCTGTCCCCCAGCGCCAGCGCGAGGCTGTGCCGGGGAGGAGTCCCCAGGTGCCCTGTGGCTTCCTCCCTCGCTGGTCCCCGCGGGCCTGCCCCATCTCACCCCACATGGCCCTCCCCACCAGGAGAGGGACTCATGCAAAACTTCCTTCAAAGGCCGCTCTTAAAAATGGCTGGCGGACCTTGCCGGCAGATAAGACCTTCATAATGGCTGGTATTTATACATCGCTTATCTCCAAGGAGCTAAAGGTACTTCATTGATTTTTTTTTTCCTCCCCAACCTTTTTTTTCTCCTCCTTTTTAACTCTCTTCGGTTATCTCTCTGCCATCGCTGGTGTGGGCCTCTTGTGCAACTCCACGTAGTCTCACAAGCACCCGAGCTCCTTTGCTGTCCACCATTGTTCCCAGCAGCAGGAGAAGAGCTCACCTGGGCTGTGCGTCCCCGGGCTGTGGACATGGGTGTCACTTTGCATCTCTGGCCCTTGACTCTGATGTAGGACTCAGCAGTGGTGACACTGTCGTCCCCCAGTTGTTGTTTTATCTGGAGATGCTGTGTGTCAAAGGTCCAGCACCTGGAAAGCACTCCTTGGTGGCTGGGGTGATGGTAGCAGTGCTGGTGTCCTGAAGCCCCGCTGTACATCTTGGGAAGTGGCCACAGGTGGCTGGACATTCCTTCCAAGATCTGGCCCTAATCCTCCAACTCCTCCTCAGCGCAAGCTTGAGTTCTCACTCTCGCCCTTGCACTCTCGTAAAAGGAAGTAACCTGCTGTCGGTATCCATCTCCCTGCAGCTGCCTGTGCCTTTCATTTGCACACACCTGTCTGTCTAGAAGCCCCAGACTGGGGCTGGGACAGACCGCCAGATCCCCATCTCTGCCTGCGATCTCTAGTGGATCCAGAGGGTCCTTCTGTCACAGCTCCCCCTGCCAAGCTCTCAGGTGCCGCTTCTCAGGCAGCGGACGCCCAGCCCCTCCAGCCTCCTCACCAGCTTCTTTCTCCACCTTTTAATTATCTTCCTCGCCTTTCTCAGGACTCTCAGCTGCTTACCATGCATAGAGCATCCACAGTTTGCAGTGTGCTGCAGAAGCAGGAATTAACCTCAGCAGTCTCTCTCTCTCCCTTTCTCTCCCTCACCCTCTCTCTCCCACTCTCTCTCCCTTTCTTTCTGACACACACATGTACACAAACACATACACACATGTGCATGTGCGCACACACAGCCTGGCTCATAGGAAATTACACAGGGCTGAAAAAGCTAGGCAGAGGGTGCTGAGCCCATCCCAGAGAGAAGACTGGCTTCCTGTGGGCAGAAGGGCCTGGGGCTCAGTCTCCTCTCTTTCCTCTTTGTCCTAGGTCCCTGACAGTCTGCACAGGGCTTTCCTAGCCCACCCCACATGGCTTTTGCTTTACCCAGACCTGGCCAAGCCTCAGGAAGAAAGGGTACTCAGCTCCTGAGACTGACAATCCCCACCCAGGGGACAGAAGAGAGCTGAAATGTGCCAGAAAGTGAGCTCAGGCCTGGATTCCCTTTCCAAACCTGCCACTTTCTAGCAAGAACCAGCTGCTGCGCCCTCCCAGACAGTTCCTTCATCTGTAAAACAGGGAAGATGAGACTTACAGCAAGCAACATTTGCGCCCTGCATTTACCCCATTGGCCTATTCATTAATCCTCACCCCTTTGCCTGAGCAGGTGGAAATTACCAGTGGCCCTGTCTACCTTCGGGGCTTCTGTTTGCTTGTGTGTCTGTTACAAAAATATCCTCAGGCATCCACTGAGGCTAAGGCTCCGGGCTCCTTTCTGCAGATCTGGCGATGAACAAGATAGATGTGGTTTCCACGACTCAGAGCTGAGTCCCAGCCCCGGGGAAGGCAGGGAAGTTAAATAAGCGCTAGCTCCACAGTGTCGAGGCCAGGGCACCGTGAGCCATGACATTACAGGGGGTGGCACCAGCCGCAGGAAGGTGGGAAAGGCGGCTCCGAGCTAGCAGCAGAGATGGACCCAGGGGCCGGGGTGAGATGGGGAACCAGGCAGAGGGACCAGCAACCCTGAGGTCCCAGGGGCTCCCTGAGAGCTTGGAGCCAAAGACCATTAATCTGAATGACCCCACAGGCAGACTTGTCCATCCATCACGGCCCTCTCTGTCCCCGCGTAGGCACGAGGACTTCCTTGGAGGAGGAGAGGCCACTGCGTGTCTGTCGTGGGATGTGTTGGCCTTTAGGTGGCAGAATAAAACAGCATTTGGAGGCTGGGCTTCTGTTGCTCGCCACCCTCACCTCCTCGTGCCCCCTGCCCAACCTCTGACCCCAGCCCCGGCCCCTTCTCAGTGGGGAGACTGACGGGGCTCGCTCTGCTCTGTCCCCTCCTCAGGAAGCTGGCCTTGTCGCGTGCGCCTTCCCAGTCGCCTGCACACAGGAGGCACAGGGAGGGGGAGCAGAGCTGCCGGGGAGAGCTCTGAGGAGACGTGCGGATTCATTTTGAGGATTCATAATGTCACATCCCCACTCCGTCCTGCCTGCAGAAATTGGGCTGCCAGATGCCTGGTCATGCTGGCAGGGCTGCGGGTTAACGCCTCGGATTTAGCTTATATCATTTCACAAGAGCTTACGGCCTTTACTGTGTTTTTTACCTGGTCGGCCCCTGGCCCTGAAGCATCCTAGACCGATGTGTGCGTGTGTGTACGCCCAGGCGGTTGCAAGTGTGTGTAGATTTTCAAATAAAGTAATACCTCTCCTCAGATGCCATGCACATTAAATATTTATCGGCAGCAATTTGCACGTATAGATTTGATAAATGGACGTTAGGAAGGGGCTGGGGGTGGGCAGCAAGACGAGAGGGCCAGGGAGGCCCTGGGAAAGCACAGTCCTTCGTGCTGGCGTCGATGGGAGGTTGGGCTCCTTAGAGAGGCGCAGGGCATGGGGTGATCTGGGCCGTGTTCACCTCTGCAACCCCTGTCGGGGAGAGCAGGCCCCCTCTCCACAGCTCTGCCTGACTTGGGCTGAGCCAAAATCAGGAGCTCCGGAGGGAGGAGATGCCGCTTGAGAGCAAGGGACTGGGTGTCACTGGAGCGTGCTGGGTCCCAAAGGTACCTCCAGGTCCCAGGCCCTGGGTCAAAGAGAAAGGTCCACTTCACCCGGGCAGCCCAGCATAGGGTCGCAATGTGCCCAGCTGGATGCAGAGGCAGCCTAGAAAGGTCAGGAGTCCCCACTGACGCCCTGTCCAACCCAGCAGAACCTTACCTCACCAGAACACCCCCAGCTCAGCAGCATGGGTACAAGGCTGGTTCCTCTGGCAGAGTCCCCTCCCACAGGGCCCGGAAAGACAAGCGGCCTCCAGCTCATTACAGAGGAACCAAAATTTTCCATCAGCGTCTCCAGCCTACTGTTCTCCTCCAGGCCGGGCCTGAGAGGAGGAGGTTGTGTGCTTGAGAGAGAGTGTGTGTGTGTGTGTGTGTGTACGTACGCCCCTGCATACTCGTCTTTGTCACCTAAAGGAATAAATGAGCATGTGGTATCTGGTCTTACAGGCCCCAGTTCCTCAACTCCTGCCTCTGTCTTTCGTTTCTAGCACCTTCGGGGAGCTGAAGACGGTCCGGCTGCCAAAGAAGATGACAGGGACGGGCACACACAGAGGGTTTGGCTTCGTGGACTTCCTCACAAAGCAAGATGCAAAGGTGAGAAGTGGCTGCTCCCCGCCACCCTGCTTCTCCTTTTCCTTCCTGGTCCTTTGCGGGAACAGCAGGACATCACCACTACCGCCCACCATCCTTTCTTTGTTCCCTAACCCCGCTAATTTTGCACTGCGACATCCTCAGAGGGGGAGGGAAAGCACTGGCGTTTGTATTTGGAGGGAGGGGCGGTGTCTGCTCTACCCTCCCTGGCTGTGCACCTACTAGGGCCTCCCAGGCCTCTCCAGCAGAGGAAATTCGTGTCCAGGTATCCCCTCAGCCTGAGCGGTGTGGGAGATGCAGTGTGGACAGCATATGCAGAGAAGGGGGAAAGGCACCCAGAAAATAGCGTGTGAGAACCCTCCTCACCCTCTTCCTCCTTTTCCTCCTCCTTCTCCTCATCCTGCTCCTTTCCCCTCTGGGCTCTGTCTGTGCTGGTCACACACAGGGCAGCCTAGGCAGGCACCGCTGTGTGCAACTGGCATCCGAATACTCTGCATCCTGGAGGCACAGAACACTTCTGGCTTTGAAGCAAGGCGGCTGTGCTGCTTTTGTGCTCAGGGCCAGGCCTCACTCCTGTCGGATGCTGGGTCCTGCCTGGCTGGCATAGGCCCTCTTCAGTGCCTGTGTCACTGCCCTCACAGCCCCAGGCTCAAATGGTCAGGACCCAGAGGAGAGGTGGCCATGGAGCCATCACCATGGCCTTCCCTCTGCAGCCTCTGAGCTCACAGTGGCCTTTCCTCTGTTGGCTGTCCTCAGGGAGCCCTCCCTGACGAGGGACCTCCCAAAGAGAAAGAGGGAAGCCCTGCGGGGCAGAGCCCGCGCCACCACTGACATGACCATTCTGAGGGTTTACCACTGCCAGTCATGGTGAGGTCTGGACGTGGCATTCCCTGGCCCCTGTGCACAGATGTGGTTGGTGGGGGGTGCTGTAGAAGGGAGGGGCGGAGGAGTGAGGGGCAGAGGCCCTTCCGGAAGTTCAAAGCAGGCTTGGCGAGCCACCTGGGCCTGCGGTGTCGGGTCCCCTATGACGTCCAGCCTCAGTGCCTCCTGTGTCCCTGTGCATGTCACGGTAGGGCACCTCTGCTTCTTGGGTTCCTTGCACGGCGTGTGCCTGGGTACATCGGGCACCTGTACTGTGGAGGGGCTTCCAGGTGGCCCATGGTACCCAGGGCAGAATGTGGTGTCACTTCCAGAGCAAGCACAGCTGTTGCTGTGTTTTGTAGAGGTGGCGGCCTCTCTCTCTCCATCCTGTTTCTGCTTCTGTGTCCAGCTCCAGGGAGGGAAAGGGCAGCTGAGGACAGCAAGGGCTCACCCCGCGGCCTTGGGGTCTGGCACTTCTTCCCCTCACCTCTGCCAGCGGCTATTTCTGGCCCCACCTTCCTGCCGCAGTTTTTCTCTCCCAGCTGCCAGGGCTGGGACCCTTTGTACCCACGGTGTGGAGCAAGCAAGCCAGGCCTTCAGAAAGCCTGATTCCAGCCGTGGCAAGCGTCTCCCTGCAGAGATCTCTTTGCTCTTTTCGCCCTCAGGGAAGCTGCCACTGCTCGCCCTTCCACTCCTGGTTGGCGTCTGAGTGGAGAGCGCTGTCCACTGACACACAGAACCGTGCACTCTCTGGGCCAGAGCACAAGCTCTGAGTATCATGCATGTGGCATCAGCTCCTGGGGCGTGGGCTTCTGGAGAGACAGCAGTCAGCAGAGCACTAGGGACTTTCCTGTGTCTCAGCACAGGGTAGCTGGAACCCAGGCCCCAGGCCTCACCTGTTCCTGACCCCATGGAATCGCCCACCAGCGTCCTGGTCCCTTCTGCCGGTGACCCCCGTGAGGAGCTGCAGTTGGTCACGGAGCATTAGCAGTTTCTTGTGCCAGGTCTGCCCTGGGAAGTCCTCAGACTGAGGGGGAGAGGAGAACAGAGAAAGTGTGGTGCAGTCAGGACCTTGAGGTCAGAAGCCCCGCAGAAACTCCTGAGAAGCCAGGCCAGGGCCTGAGTCCAGGTTTCTTAGCTCCCTACACACTTCTCACTGCAGCGGCTGCCAGGGCCTAAAGGTGTCTGCCCCACAGTCTCCACTTCGGTCCTGAGCATGTGCTCATTGCCTCAGCCCCTAAGTGGGGCGTTCTGAGTCCTCTGTCCTTCCGTGAGACCCATGTCTCACTTCTTGTATCCCTGGGGACACAGATCCATGGGACCCTTTCTGGAGAGAAGATTGTTGCAAGGGCTTGACAAGGGCTTTGTGGCAGAGCTCAGAGTACCAGGCAGCTGCCACTAATAGCAAAGGTCCCCGCCATCGTGGCTTCACACAGTGTGTTCACCACACACACCGCTTCTGCCCCACCCTGCAGCACTCAGAGTACCCAGAGTGGGGCAGCAGGTTTGCATGGGGTCTCCCTCCCTGATCCCTCAGGACATCCGCTGAGCTCAGCTCTGCCTGCAGCAGGGCCTGGCACCTGAAGGGAAGCCCAGCCCCAAGCTGGTACCAGGATACTCTGGCAACCTGGGATGGGACCGGGCCATCTGCGATGGTCACAGGCACTGGTGACCAGAGCCCGGCTCAGGGAAGCCAGATCGATGAGCTGGCACATTCTCCCAGCCTAGGACATTTTATCAGCCCCTGATGTCCCAAGCAGTAAATGTCAGTCCCTGTGAAAGTGCTGGTGTTATCTAAACCACCAGGTGTGATGATCCGGCATTTCTCCCAGATCCCGCCCGAGAGGGGAAGCGGGAGGTGAAGGTCGAGGAAGGCAGGAGAGTGGGCATCACAGGCAGTCAGGGACCCGCACACAGCCTGAGCACAGGGGTCCCCCAGCCCCGCCCACACCCTGTGCACTTGTGTCTGGACAGCAGTGCCACCTCTCCAGGCCACAGCAGTCTCAGAAAGGCAGTGTCTCTCAATTTCTGAAATCCCACCTTGAGCAGTGACCGTACTGGACATTTGGGTGCATTATCACCGATCCTCACGGGACAGGCCGTGGGGGCTGTTTGGCAGTTGGGTACACTGAGACCTAAAGGCTGGAAGTCACTTGCTCAAGGTCATACAACCCATACTTGGCAGCTAGGAACAGTCAGGTTCCTCCCTGCCCTCATTCCCTTAAACTGAGTGCCACACTGTCCCCACACTCTGTCCCCGCACCCTCCTCTCACACAGATCAGGGTCCGCCTGTTAGAGATGCTCTGCAGAAGGCCCAGAGGGTCTCCCTGAGAGCTGTCTCTGGGTGGGGAACATCCCTGGGAGGGGAGCATCTCGGGGCAGAATCAGCCCTTCTGGTCCACAGAGGCTCATGGCGCTCACTGAGAGACACAGTTCCCTGGGTCTCCCTGCCCCACAAGCTGGCTCTGCTTTCTACCTGGGCAGGTGTGCTGCAGATTCCTGGCTAGGTGTGCCCATCCCTATTGGCTGAGCGGCCACCAATGGCCACTGGGATTCATGGAAAACCGCCCCTTGCTCCCCCTTTAGCTGGAGCAGGCCAGTCAGGGTGGGAGGAAGGTAGAGCCTCGCCCAGAAGGGGAAGGAGGCGAAAAGGGCCGTCAGTCCAGAAACCAGAACGCTCATTTTTCCCATGCACCGCACCTTTAATTTCTTCCTCCCCAGCTACCATGCCTTTGTACTTTTGCAGTGCAGCTGTTTTTATTTGCTGCCGCTGCTGTTGTTTTAAAAGGTCTATTTTCACATGGAATGTTATCCAATTAGCAGAGCAATGTGTTGGCTTAAATAAACACTCGGGGGGAGCCGGCGGTGGGGAGACGTGATGGCGGCGGGCGTTGGCAGGCAGCTCATCTGCCGTGGTAAACAACCGCGCCTTTAATTGCAGGGTCGCTCCAGCTCGAGCCTCCATCCTCATTTCTCACTTGTCCACCAGGCTGGGGGTGGGTGCAGGGAGCAACGCGGACACAGGTCCTCAGCCCAGCTCGGGCAGTACTGAGGGTCATTAAGGCTCCCATTCGGCCTGTCAAGGGTGCTGCCCACACCCTACAGTCTCCACCTGTAGGACCCATAATGCCTGCTGGGGCAGTGTTAGTGACAAGGAGAACCGAGGCCTCCTCCACCTTCACATACGGCGAGGGTCGCTGTCCGGTCATAGTGATATGTGCTCATGTCCAGGTGACTGAGTCCGAGGAAGGGCAAGAATCCAGTGTGCCCGGGGGCCCATGGGAACGCAGCAGGGTCTAGAGGGGACCCTGCCCCAAGGAAAGGAGGAGCAGGGCAGCATCACAGACACCCCTGGCCCATACAGGCGGTGCCTGGCCGCGGTCACTACAGCCTGTGTGTCAGAGCTGCCCGTCCCTGCTGAGGAGTGTGGGTGGGGCCCACTGCGAAGGTTAGAGGGTGTGGTGCAGGGAGCCCCCATCCCAGGTGGCCCATGGCCTTCAGGCATGGTGCAGCTGAGAGATCCTCTGGGCCCCGTGGGTCCTGAGCTTTCCCCTGGGAGCTTGGCACTACTTGTTCTGTGTCCCCCAGAACGTTAACAGGAGGCAAAGCCAAGAACCGGGGTTCTGTCCCCACTTCTCTGCTGCCCAGGTGTGTGTGTTCTGTGTGACATTCACACCCGTTGTGTAGTGCTGGGGTTGTGCCAAGTTCCTGTCATCACAGCCCTGGGTAAAAGAAAACGTGTTTGATTACGGAGCTTGTGTTTCAAGGCAAGGACTTGGGCTCAGCCAGCGTGTTTCACAGGCTGAGAACCTACAATCAGGTTGAGCCACCCCCCTCCAATAAGCACAGGCCGCACGGCTTGGTCACTGAGGAGCGGGCAGCACCAGGATGCGGCTCCCCGCAGACCTGTCCGGCCAGTGAGAGACTGTAGTAGAGAGAACTGGCTCTGCATGTCTTGTTCAGATTTACCGGGCCATCAGCTGGACTTACCCAGGAAAGGTGGAAATCTCAGCTAGAAAGCTTTCTCCCGTCATCAGTATTAAAATGTCTTGCCGCCAACAGATTAAGAGCAGGTGCCAGGACCCCGCCCTGCAGGTCGCCCAGCACCCCCACTCTGTAGCTGACAATGTGGAAACTCAGA